TGGACAAACAGCTACACTGCTAACTGGAAAGACTTGGAAAGTGCCTGGTTTCCTTAACCTGGAGTACAGGGCAACACAGCAGGAGACAAGGGCGGTCAGTAACAGGCACCCACCTGCTGCCTGAGTCACATAGGAGCACAGACATTAGAGCAGAGTCTGAAAACTACTAAGTGCTTTAAAAGCAGCTGAGAGGGCACCAGACTCCGCAACTGCTTAAGCCAATGCTACTGAAATGTCTGGGACCGAAAGTTTCTCATTTTTCTATTTTACCTGATTCAAGTCAGGCAGTTTAGGGGAGGTGATAGTGGATGTAACTCTGAGAAGGCCAGCATCATCCAGCGCTGCCTGGGTGGGTGCAGGGAGGGGGATTCTCCCTGGTTGTGGGCTCCATTTAACAAGCGCATCTGGCTCTCACAGTAGTAGAGAGTAGTAAGCAATAAAGGTGACATTCTGGCTTCCAGCTGCCTATTTTACTTTTCAATTTCTTTCAGAAATCTAGTGAGGAAACTGGGAGCTATTTATTAGCCCCTGGAAAACTTTAACTGGTCAGGAACGCTGAGAAATCACAGAGAATGGATTACGTGGACCAAAGGAACTCATGGTGAGGTTCTGTGGGACCAGGTGCATGGACCCCAGAATGCGGCACTTCCCCTCCTTCTCTTCTTTCTTACCACTTGCTAGAGTAATGCAGAAAGTGCACAAGTAGATGTACAGCCTAACAAATTTTCATGAAACCCATGTAACCAACACCAAGATCGAGAAATGTTCCAGGACCCCAGAGTCTCCCTTCAAGCTCCCTCCAGTTACCACTCCTTGCCTGGAATGACCGTGACTCAGACTTCTAGCTGCACAGATGTGATATGGGTGGGTGTTGTGGCGTGGTGTCCCGTGGGGTATTTCTGGCTGTGCACCTGACTTTACACTTCTAGACTTGGAAGAATCTAAGGTTTACAGCACCTGCTGCTTTGACCTTGTGGACAACAGCTACTTGGAGCTAAGAGAAGCAGGAATTTAAGTAAAGGTCAGAAGTCTCACTTGTATCTCATCGGGCTAAAATCAAAGAATCAAAAAACAAGCAAACAAACAAAAAACAAAAAGCACAGCTGAGTTCCTTCTGGAGGCTCCAGCGGAGAATCGGAGAATCGTTCCTCACCTTCTCCAGCTTCTGGAGGCCTGGGCGTTCCCTGGCTGTGGCCCCTTCCTCCACCATCAGAGCCAGCAGGGGTGTGTCCCTCGGATCCACTCTCTGCCTACAGCCAGGAAAGGCTCTCAGCTCTAAGGAACTGAGTGATCAGACGGGGCCCAAGGAACATGGGCAGCTTCCAGAAGCAGGAAAAGGAAGAGGGTTCTCCGCTAGGGCTTCCAGGAATACAGCCCTGGCCACACCTTGATTTTAGCCCTGTGAGATCCATATCAGCTTTCTGTCCTCCTAAACTGTGGTTTTTAAGCCACTAAGTTTGTGGCAATTTGTTACAGTAGCTGTAGAAAACTAACACATATGATGAGGGAACGGGAAACCACAGACATCCCACAATGGCTGAACATTTTGCATTCCCACCAGCAATGCTCTTCACAACCTCTCTCCCTCCCTCTCTCTTTTTTGTAATGTCAGATTTGTTGTTTTTAATTTTAGCCATTCTATGCCTCTTTCTTTTCTTCTTGGTCATTCTTCCCATGGTATATCAATTTTAATAATCTTTAAAAAATATAAGAACTTTTTATTTTTTTCCTACTTTATTAATTCCTGTTTTCATCTTTTTTGTTTTGGGTTGAATTTACAATTTTTTCCCCAACTTCTTGAGATGAATTTAAACAACACTGGTTTTCAGTCTTCTTCCTCTGCTAATACTAGCATTCAAGATTATGAATTGTGACTCTAAGAGTGGCATTAGCTGCTTCTCACAAGTTCTGACGTATGGTATTTTCATTATCATTCAGCTCAAAATATTTTTCTAATTTCCTTTTTTACTTCCTCTCTGACCCATGGGTTACTTAGAAGTATATTTTTTAGTTTCCAAACAGGAGAATTTCTGTTATTACTGATTTCTATCTTAATCAGGGAACACAGTCTACATGATATCATTCCTTTAGAAGGTACTCAGGCTCACTTTGTAGTCAAATGTCCTAGTAAGTTTTCATAAATGTTGCCTGTGAGCCTGAAAGCAGTGTGTGTTCTGTGATTTCGGGTACATTGCTCTGTAATTGTTCACCAGGCCAACGTGCTTGAATGTTTTCTTCCATGTCTTCCCATAGCTATACCAATATTAGTCCACTTAGTCTCTCATATACAAGAAGTGTCTGAAAATCTCTGAGTATGGATTTGCATACTTTTCCATGTATTCTCATAATTTCTGCTTAAATATGCTAAAGTTGTTATGTATGTACAAATTTGGAGTTGTTACATATCCTTGTATTTGAAGTATCTATCTCCATTTCTAACAATGCCTTTGCCTTAGAGTTTTTTTAATATATAGAAAATACAGCTATACATTAGCTTTTGGTTAGAGTCTACATGATGTATCTTTTTCTATCTTTTGTCTATGAAGACAGAGAAAGTGTCAGACCAGTAAGATGGTTATAGCTGATTTTTTAAAGACTTTTATCTTTAAAAAAATTACAGCATGTAATCTATGTAATTACTTATTTATTTGGATCTAAATCTACCCATATTACTAAATGCTTCCTGGTTGTCATATCTGTTTTATTTCCTTTGTTTTCTTTTGGATGAACATATTTTGGACTAGTAGTGTTCCTTCTACTGGCTTCAGAGTCAGACACTTTACCACGTCTGTGTGTACTCCAAGCCTCATGTTACCAGGCCAACTGGGACTCTCAGTTAACACAAGAACCTGAGATTACACGATTTACCCCTCCCCAATTTATATGCCACTCTAGTTTTGTATTTTAGTTCTCTCTATATTTCCATCTCCACAAGACATTGTTTTGCAGTCACTATCCATTTAGATTTAACCAAATGGTTACCACTTCCATTACCATATATACCTTTCTGCATCCATATTTTTTTAAACACTACTTATCTATTCTACTACACACTTATTAAGAACTGCTTGTCTGGACTGCATTCTTTCCCTGAGTCAGCCAGCCTGGGTCAGCCCTAGCTCCACCAGTACATCTTTCCTGCAAACCCTGGAGGAGTATTATGTGAGGCCAACTCTTTTCATGGCTCCTACTGCCTGTGACATTGGGTTTATAAAGCTCTTTCACATAGACTTATGATTTCAGCTTCAGAACAACACAAAGGGAAAAAAGTGCATTATGGGGGTGAATTCTTTTTTTAAAAGATTTTATTTATTTGAGAGAGAGAGAGAGAGAGCAAGTGCAAGAGAAAGAGAGAGCAAGCATGGGAGGAGGCAGAGGGAAGGTTCTCTCTCTCACTGAGCAGAGAACCCGATATGGGGCTTGGTCCCAGGACCCCGTGATCACGACCTGGGCTTAAGAGAGATGCCTAACTGACTGAGCCACCCAGGTGCCCCTATCCCATACCTAATTCTAAAATCTCATCCTTATATATGCCCCACAGTGCCCCTATACTCTCTACTCATAGTTAGAGATTCTCTGGATTACCTGGATTTTATCAAAAACTGCTATTTCTTGTAACCTGGATTGCTCCATTCATGTATCTGAAATACTGCTTCCAATCTTTTAAGACCCAGTCACTTCCCAGGATGCTTTCTTGTGCTGTGTGGGTGGAGGCTGAAGCCCTTCTGAGAGCTCTATACATAAATCTACTCTCTTATCTTGTTACCACTCTGGTTGCTCCATGAGGGCATGGCTAGCCTTAACCATGTGTATCTCTATTTCCTAGCCCAGTAGGAAAATGGAGCCAATATTGAGTTCATCCTCAAAAAAGGGATAATAGCCCCTGTAACGCATTTTGCCCCTTTGTGTTCTGAAGCTGAAATCATAGTCTATGTGAAAGAGCTCTTAAAATCAGATAAGTAAAAAAAAAAAAAAAAAATCAGATAAGTATGTAGAGATTAATGGTTGGTAGTGTGACATAGTTGTTTCACATGCTTTATGAAAAAAAATCTAAATTAAATATGTCTAGATTTTGTTCCCAAGAAATTTATTAATTCCTGGATCATAATTACTTTGCAAATTTGTGCCTGAATAGTGAAGAATAAATCAGCTTTGTAAGGAGAATGTGAATGTTATACTTGTTCTAGAAATTTTTTTCTTTGCAGGAGAACTCTTTTAAAATAAAATCTTACATGAAATCCCAAAAATATTAAGTAAATTAAAGATTCATGTTGTGACTGTGACTGAAGCACATGTGGTGAGTGTCTCTCACAGCAGAGTCACTAGTAGTACAAAATGATTACCCTTCTGGTAAGTTCAGAGTCATCTCTTCAACTAGAGAACTGAATAACTTTGTTTTAACATGCCAACAACCAATATGGCATTTAAAAGTAACTTTATTAAAGTTGAGGATAGTTGTTGATACACAGTTTGATATAATAAATCTACAGATAACCACCACTCACATCACATAATTGAGCTTCTGAGATGACACTCTCCTCGGCTAACGCTTAGCGCTGTGGCAGTGGCTGGGCTCTGTACGACAGGCTACCTGCTCTCATGGACTCACGGGCTCTCCTGCTCCCACTTTCCAGAACTTGGACATTACTGATCCTGAGAAGAAAGTTCAGAGCTTTTTCTGTGATACTTATAACTTACTTTACTAAAGTTTTAAAAGGCTAGGAGACATTCGTGAATTTCAAGTGTAAAGCTGGAATTTAAAGTGTTTGTCCAGATAAATTGTACTATGAAATGAAAGGTTTTATTTGCAACTTATACAACTTCATAAAAAACTACACTGCTCAGAATCTGACATAGGCTAAGTGAAACATTTTATTTTCTGAAAAATACTGGCAATGTATACCTGTCTTAAAATAGTTCAAACACATGATTAAATGAACTAATTTTGATAGAATGTTTAAGATGACAGTATGTAAAAAGAAAAGTAATTTAACCACATATTAGTAAATATATTTTATTTGTCAAAAGTAAATGCCAAGTTTATTTAGGATATTCAAGTACAAAAAATGAAAAATTATATACCTATGACTGTTAAGAAAAAGTTAGAAGGCATTAAATTGTTATAAGAATACTACAAAGGCACTGAATTCAACTATAACCTAATATATGAATTATCTAAGTTTTAATATCTTTAATGTTCAGTTGCTCACAGTTATTTTCTTAAGAAATATTTTTAATAAGATGATTCAACCTTATGATTTTTCCCCTGGAAGACAGAGTTTTAAACAACAAGTGTGTAAAACATCCTAATGAAATAGAGTGGGAATATCCCAGGCTCAAAGGTACTCATCACTAAAAAAGGGATTTATTATCCAGAAGCTTTTACTTTTAAACACATCTTTTCATCACAATACATCTACCACAATAAGGCACTTCATTGTGCCTTATTGAATGCCTTATTGAATGCCTCAATGAAGTGCCTTATTGTGCCAATTTTACACAATTTGATAAAAAAAAGTTTACGATTGTGTTACCAACTGGATAATGATATCAAAAATGTAAAAAGTTTCATGAAACTATTAAGAGGTTAGAGCTTCAGATACACAGTACATTTTAAAACATATTCCCCAAATTTTACTTTAGTATGTACAAAAAAGGAGTTCATCTTGGAATATAAATGCAATCAGATAGCCATAAAATGAATGACTTCTGTATTTTCAATGGCACTGACACTTTGTTCTGTGGTACAATGCATATAAGTAATAATAACTGGGCAGCAGGAAAACAATCTAGATTCATCATAAACCAGCAACTTGGAAACTTCTAACAACAGTGAATATAAAAGTGGTATCATCCACTGTGGCTTATGTATTAACCTTATACTTAAAAATATTTTTCCATAAATGGCAGTAACTACAGCCATTTGCCAGATATAGAATAAGTGATACAGCAAATAAAAACAGCAAGAAAATCAAAGCATACTTCTAACATTTTAATAACTTTTGCTTGTGATGACCTTCTGTGATCTGGAACCTTTGTTTTACATAAAATTGGAGCTGGAAAGAGAAGAAAAAAACCTTTTGATTGGTACAATAAAGAAACTATATAGGAAATAAAAATTACTAGAACCATTAGTTTTATAAAGCTTTTACAGAAAGAGTAAGTATATATCTAATCTATAAAAGAATCTTTGGAAAATAAAAAACCATTAAACCCTATTTTCTTGTGTATGAATTTCTGAGCTCTCAATAAAACTATGGGCTTGGACCTGACTTTATAAACGAGCATATGCTAATAATGGTCATGTTAAATGGAGTCAGGTGACCATTTTTACAAAGCAAATGTAAACTGTCTTTCACATATGGAATAAACTTGAGGAATCCAATTTTAGTTAACACTGGATTAGGAGGAAAAGATAAGAATAGGTAAAAGGTCCCTCAGCTTTATAATTCAAAGCCTATCTTAAAGCAGTAATAAATTTTATTTATAGTTTATCTTTTAAAATTCAATGACTGAGTAAAACATAGCTATTAATAGTCATATTCATTCTTTTGACTAGTGGCTTGCCCACTACATAGCAAGCGCTTTTGTAGGCTCTGGAGATAGATGCATCAATGAACAAAACAAAGATTGTAGAACTTATATTGAAAGATCATATATGAGAATTTATTCCTTCTTTCTTCCCCAAAACTATAAAATCCACAGGTCAGCTAAATCCACCAGAACCTTGTAGATTTACTTCTCCACAGTTCAAAAATGGAAAGCCGTCATGAACCAACATTATGTTTTCCTAATTATTTTGAAGTTAAATTATAGTATTCTGAAAATGCTGGGTTTGAAGGAAGATGTAATGATAAAACTGAACCAGAAATATTGCAGTGTGAGGAACAAAAGGAGAAGTGGATGCTGCCAAAGCAGAGATAGTTGGAGTAAACTAAGGCAGAGCCACCAAGAAGCACTGTCAACTGAACAAGTCAGTGATAAAGTTCAAGGACGGTCAAATAGGCAAAATGACAAGGACACTCTGAGTGGGAGAGATAAAGGACAGAAAGTATAGAAAAGGAAAAATAAAACTTATTTTCTAAAAATTTGGTAACTTTGATTTTTAACACATACCCCAAACCCTCAAGCCTCGAGATTATCATCCATATGCTACTCATGGCCGCCCCATTGTACCGAGGCCCTCTCTACCTTCCTCTGCATCTTTACGTCCACCATTGGTTTCACAAGCTCTGACATCAAAGCACAGGAGTTCGAATCGATAGCCTGGTTCCCTTATTAAAATAAAAATTCTCACAAAATTATCATCAGTAGAATTTATTTAAATAAAAGTAAACCTAAAAATTTGTTTTTTTATCAGCTATTATTTTACTTCTAAGATTCCCCAACAAAGTATATAGCTTCTATTTAGACAAGAAATTCAACATAGCTAATGGCAGGTCTGCAGTTACTAGTTATGCACTAGAAACAGGCTGGACAATGAAATAAGAGCAGTCATTTTTCCTCTCAGGTAACTGACCCTTTTTAAATTATGCTGTATTTAGTTCATTCATTTATTTGCTCATTTGGCAAATATTCACTGAGCACTTAGTATGTGCCCAGTGTTGTTCTAGATGCTGGGGAAACAGCAGTGAATAAGAAGGACAGGTCTCTGCTCTCAAGGAGCTGACATTTTAGTTGCAAGCAGCTGATAATAAACAAGGAAATAGACTGTTATAAGCACAAGATCAAACAGGGCAACAAGACAGACGGTAATGGGGAGGGGGCCACCAAAGTGGGGGCTTTAGGGGTAGCTTACTTTTTACGGTCCTTGTCTTTCCTCAGGTTGCTGCCTGATGCCATGTAGGACTGGCTTTGGTATATCTCTGAAGTAGCTTTCTTCTTTGAGAAAGCAATTATTTCTTCTTCCAAGAGTCTTCTCTTCTCTTCAAGCTTCATTCTCTCTTCCTGGTGAACTCTTTTGAGGTGCTCAAACTTGGCCTGCAGCTGTGAAACAAAGGTGCAATTCCCATCAATGACACAGTGTGGCAGCACATGCACAGGAACGTTCTCAAGTTTAGCAACCATTGCTAAGGCTAACCTACACAGTAATTTACAAATTATCTGGATGTTGCAAAAGTTCATGCTTAAAGTAAAAATGTACATATGAAATTGCCTTGGTAACGAGTTCCCATGCAAAAAGATGCATAACAACAACAAAACAAACTATAGCCTCTAAAAATCTCCTTTTAAAACATTTGACCTTTTCTTAGTTTTTATTTTCTTGCTCTATATTTTCCTCACAAAGCCTCTTCAAATATACTTTCTAAAATCCATGCTCAATAAAAGTGAGGGACACAACTACAAAATCAAGTTATCAAAAAAACACCTTATTGAAACCTAAACACATTCACCTTCTTGAAACCTAAACTAAATCAAGAAATCCTAAGTTAAATTTTATTCATAAAAATACTCACTGTAGTAGAATTTCACCATAGCCTGTGTCTAATGAAGTCAAAAAATAAATTTATGCTAAGTACACTCAATGCAGCCATTAAAATGAGTTTGTAAAAGGGTTTTTTTTTTTTGTAAAAGGTTATATAACACTATAAGATGAAATTTCCCTTTGTTGTTTGTTGTTTATTGGGGAAATAAATCTAGAGACTTGAGCAGATTCCACATGAATCAGCTGCAAGCCTTGCCTGCCAAGAACACAAACACAGCATCCAGAATCTAGATCAAAAAAGACGACTTCTAAAATTCTCTAGTCTAGTCAGATTAACTTTAGTATTTTCAGTTCTGTGCAGCATTCATATAAAAAAAATAGGACTTGGTTTCTAGAAAATATGGCATAAAATAATTGAAGAAATACTTTGCTAAAAATTAGAGGTTGAGGGTGGAAAGTGAAGAGCTAAACTCTATCCTAATAAAAGTTAATGGTTTCAAATATGGAAGAGGTTGTCTTGTGTGCCAGTAAAGCTTGACAGATGTATTGAAATGGAGACAGAAAAGAATTGAAACAGATTAAGACCCTCTACCCTAAGATTCTTGTATTCCTGAGGATGGAATTTCAGAGAAGTATCAGTTCCTTAGTATTTATTTCAATAATTCCTGCTTTTAAAAAAAGCTATGTAAGTGAGTATGTATGTATGTAAAGGGTGGGGTTCATCTAGCTGTCATTCAAATCAGTGGTATAAATAAAGGGAGTCACAACTCTCTGAGTCTGTGTGCATCTCCTACAAATGTGGGAGAGGAACTGAGTAAACCCAGGAAAGACAGGATCTAGGAGTGAATTTATATGATGTGAATGAAGACATCTCTGATTACTTAAATGGAGGCTGCATACTCTATGTGCATAGTTAAATACCTTGAAAGGTTATAGGGTACTTTATATGTCATTCATGAGGTTGGCTAAATATTGCAGAAATACTATAAAGAGAAAAATATTTTAAAAGGGGAGGCAAGGGGCGCCTGGGTGGCTCAGTGGGGTAAGCATCTGCCTTTGGCTCAGTTCATGATCCTGGGGTCTTGATCTCCTGATGCAGCCCAGTGTTGGGCTCCCTGCTCAGCGGGGAGTCTGCTTCTGCCTCTGTCCCTCTACTCTGCCTGTGCTCTCTCTCACGTTCTTTCTTTCTCTCAAATAGATAAAATCTTTAAGAGGGGAAACAGGGGTAGGTGTGACTATTATTCACATTATGTGGAGTTCACATATACATACTTGTGGTTCCATGATTCAGTATAATAGGCATTTAATTCAAACATATTTTCAAATACTCTGAAGTAATGTTTACAAAAGATACAGCAGTGTGCCATATTGGTGATACTGTCTTAAGGGTGTGGTGAGAAGTTATCAACAGCACAGAGGTCTCCTGTTTTTCCAACTTTGACTCTTAAGTATTTAATGATACTGACTACAGTATAAAACCTGGTCATGAGGTACCTTGTAATATTAATAAAAGAGGTCCGGAATCTACTGCCTCGAATGCTATATAACTAATATGTTTAGAACTCTTGTGAGAACTTTGGTTGTTGATGCCTCAGGCTTACATTAACTACATTTTTTGTGCTTCACAAAAAAGCACTTAACCATAAAAAATAAAAGTCTACAAAGGATCTGCTGACAAATAGTCTTTTTCTTTTTCTTTTTTTTTTATTTTTTTTTATTTTATTTATTTATGAGAGACAGAGAGAGAGAGAGGCAGAGACACAGGCAGAGGGAGAAGCAGGCTCCATGCACCGGGAGCCCGATGTGGGATTCGATCCCGGGTCTCCAGGATCGCGCCCTGGGCCAAAGGCAGGCACCAAACCGCTGCGCCACCCAGGGATCCCGGTCTTTTTCTTTTTCTTTCAACTGTGTGGTCACTCTGAATTTTCTATATCCTTTTGAATAATACACATTTAAGAAAAATATTCTTATGTGGGATTTTAAAAATTAAAAACTCAACAATAAACCACTTCTACATCTTTTCTCCTCACTGAAGAAACTAAAAATCATGATACGTGAGAGATAAACTCTTAAATAGTTTTACTCTACCATCTTAAAGATGAAATCTACTAATGAAAAAAATATCAGCAACCTTATTCCTTCTCATCACAACTCCTTCCTCAATATTCAGAGACAAACAGAATACCCAAATGTGACATGAGAATTGCGACTGAATTCCAGTTCAAAAACGAAAAAAAAATCACCAAATTAGGGATCCCTGGGTGGCGCAGCGGTTTGGCGCCTGCCTTTGGCCCAGGGCGTGATCCTGGAGACCCGGGATCGAATCCCACATCGGGCTCCCGGTGCATGGAGCCTGCTTCTCCCTCTGCCTATGTCTCTGCCTCTCTCTCTTTCTCTCTCTGTGACTATCATAAATAAATAAAAATTTTAAAAAAATCACCAAATTAAAAACAAACAATAAAAGGCCATATTTGGACAAGTGGGAAATGTGAATGTGATCAGGCATTCCCATTAATTTTCTTAGATGTAATACTGATACAATGGTTATGGAGGAAAATGTGCCTAAGCTTCAGAGATGCACACTGCAGGGCCTAGGGATAAAGTGTCATCATGTCTACAACCAGTTTTCAGATGACCAGGGAAAAATATATATCCTCCCCTTGGATATGTATATACACATATATAAAATACAGAGGGCAAATTCCTTTTTGAGCTCATCCTTTTGGACCATCATCCTGAATGTGACCATTGACTTAAAAGTAGCCATTGTGGTTAGGTCTATAGAAAATAGCTTAACTCAAATAAAAGTAAAATTATGACTTGAAGAACTAGAAGCAATCCAAAGGTCATCTGACCACCAGACTCCTCTGGAAAGCCTGACTTCAAACTCAAAGTTACTTAATTGCTTTCATAGTTAGCCACCAGGTAGCAAGCATCAATCCCAACAATCTCCAGAACTCTCAAGAAAGGCTTTATGAAGCCACAGCTAAAACATTTCTGGTTTAAACTTAAGGCATTTATTTTTAATTTTTTAAAGATTTTATTTATTTATTCATGAGAGACACAGAGAGGCAGAGACATATGCAGAGGGAGAAGCAGGTTCCCTGTGGGGAGCCCAATGTGGGACTTGATTGCAGGACCCTGGGATCAGGCCCTGAGCTGAAGGCAGATGCTCAACTGCTGAGCCACCCAGGAATCCCCTAAAATTAAGGCATTTAAAACCTAGTTCACCTAACTCTGGGAAACGAACAAGGGGTGGTAGAAAGGGAGGTGGGCAGGGGATGGGGTTGACTGGGTGACGGGCACTGAGCGGGGCACTTGATGGGATGAGCACTGGGTGTTATTCTATATGTTGACAAATTGAACACCAATAAAAAATAAATTAAAAAAAAAACCTAGTCCAACAAAACCTAGGTTAACTTAGTTAACCTAGTCCAATGTAAGTCGTTGGTGAACCATTTCAAATGGAAGACTAACATTTGCCAAAACATTGGCAAAAAGGCCAACGTTTTAATTTGAATTCAGATTTTTTAAAGTCTGTATGCAAAGACTGTATGTTAAAATAGCTACTTTTTAATGAACAAGTAGTCCCCAAAAGCATCTCAGCTAAATTCTTGAGATAAATCTCCCAAACAGGACACCTAAAAAACAAATGCAGATCACATTAAACCAGCGTACTTGCCTCTCTCTCAGCTTCTTTCAGTATGGCTTCTTTTTCCTTTACTCGCTGCACAAACATCTGCTTCATTTCTTCTTCCTTCCTCTGACGTTCACCATAAAATTCATGTCTTTTGGCTTCATAGGTCTCTTGAAGACTAAAAAGTTATTTGTGGTACTATCATGTTAAAAATGATGTAGGACACTTGCAAACACAAACTTCTCAGGTTAAGCCTCAGTGTTAACTATAACACCCTCTTATACAGAGCAAACATGACATTTCCATAACACAACATGTCCTACAGCACAAGACATAAAAAGCCACCAGTGCTGTAGTGCTATAATAGATAAAGAGTACTAGATTTCTGAAATCTCTGCTTTATCAAGTCCTTCACAAGAAGTATTCTCACTTTACTCCAGATAAATTCTTTCAGCCTTGGTTAATTAGCATCACTGTGTCTGGAAACCTTTGAGGTCTTGAAGTCATCCTTGACTCTTCCCTTACCTTCTCTCTGTATTTGATCACCAAGGTCTGGGAGTTCAGTTTGTGACCCTGACATCATTTTATTTTTTATTTTATTTATTTTTTTAAAGATTTTATTTATTTATGCTTGAGAGACAGAGAGAGAGAGAGGCAGAGACACAGGCAGAGGGAGAGGCAGGCTCTGCTCCATGCAGGGAGCCTGACATGGGACTCGATCCCAGGTCTCCAGGATCCCACCCTGGGCTGAAGTCGGCACTAAACCACTGAGCCACCAGGGCTGCCCTTTCTTTTTTTCTTTTTTTCTTTTATTTTTTTAAGATTTTACCCTGACATCATTTTAATCCAGTCTTCTGATTTCTATAGATATCCTGATACAGCCCAACCCAATCTTCGTGATTTTCTGCCTTCACTACTACAATAATAACCTAACTCATCTCTGGGCTTTTAGTTCCTCTCTCTCTCACTCTTACTTCTTGCCACTCCTAAGATTTTCTAAAATCCCCCACAGGTCTCATTATCTTTTTTCTACTGCATTAGTTATGTTCTACAAAATAAGGTCCCACCTCCTGTAAGAAGCAATTATGAAACTTCACAATCTGGCCTAATTCTACCTTTCCAGATTCATCTCTTACCAAACATATCCAATCCTCCTAAGGTTTCAGCCATATCAACTTATTCAGTGTTCCTAAAACTACACATTTCATGTGTTAGCTTGTGTATCTCCTGCGCTTCCAAAGCCACTGCCCACATGCCAACCCTCATTCTAACCAGCTGATCCTCTATTTCAAATGCAACTTCCTCTATAAAGCCTTCTCTGGTCTCCCCAGTTGGAACTAACTATGCCTTCTAAGTACTTTTGTGGCACTTTGTACCTCTTCTTTGGCATTTATATCCTACTTGTCTTACTCTTCTAATAGATCATTATCTTTGTAACACAACTATCCAACAAAGCTCGCTAGCTTTTCAGGCTCTTCATAAATGTTTATTTAATGACAGAAATTCCCAGGAAATAGAGTCAGATTTAACCAAGCAGAGCAAGTACTGTCCTCAAGCACTGTGTCTAGCTGCCCTTTCTTATTTATTGCATTTCAGAGGTATAACAGACCTTATTCGGCAGAATTACCAAGCCCTTCCATTTCATCTTACTATGAGATTATCCCAAAGATTTAACAAGGAACACAAATATACCTTCCAGCTGCGTTGCAGTTAGGAATTTCTACTGCTTACAAAAGTACTTTATATCAAAATAGATACAAATGTGATGAATTAAGGAATTTTACAGTCTTAAATATTACAACTGGAGAAATAAACCTGCTAAGTATAGAATTCTAGAAGTTCACGGAGAATTAGAGTAAGAAATGTTGTGCAACAGCTATTACGGCTGATTGTGTAGGGTAGGTGGAGCAGGTTTTCTGAGGAGGAACAGATCTAAACATTGTCTTAAGAGAAAAATGTACAAACTGCCATAGATAACCACATAAATGCCTTAAATCTCAAGGAAAAATTTCACTTTCTACCAGGCTTTGTTTTTCTGTGTTTGTTTTGGTCTTAAAGAAGCCTCTATATCTTCTATCAGGCTTTTTTCATCATTTTCAGAAACCTCACTGCATTTTGCTGGTCCTATAGTGGATTGAAAGTCTTTATAAACAAACTTGATTTAATTAAAGTTTTGAATTCATATCAAATGTAAGTTTAAAGAAGTTCTCATTATCTGTTTATGTAAGCACTTGAGTTGCTTAAGAGGAAAATAAATCTAACTGGCAAAGAAAAGACCTAACATTTGTTGAATAGCTGCTACCAGCAAGGTACTTTTCTGGAATTCTTTCTCTACCCAATTCCCATAGCATCCGTGAAGAACAAGCACTTATACTCTGTTTTACAGATAAGAAAACTAAAACTCAGAGAGGTAAAGTAATCAAAGTAACATGGTTGGTAAGTAAAAAGCTGGAATTTGAATCAGGTCAGATTTTTGTTTTATCAAAATAACCTTTTGATAAAAAGATTATTTTCCATCACGTCACATTGTTTTTCAACCTTGACAACCAAAAGTCAATTGTAAGTAAAGAAATGTTTAGAAGATGTGTAAGGGAATAATTTATATAGTTAGTGTCATAAAACTAACACAACAATTGTTTACAATCATGGATTTATTCATTAAATGAAAATGAAAAATAGTTTTCTTGCTATTTTAATATAAAATTCTTGCTTTTTCTAGTATAAAAGTATCTTGTCATGAATATTCAATGAAACACATTACTATACTTGCAAATATCAGTGATTTAAAGCAAAGTTGAAAATAAAGAGGAAGAAAAAAGTTCTCAGATGCTCACATTCATCAAGAAAATCACTACAGTCCATTCACTCAGGACTTCATTGTTGGTTTTTTTTTAATTTTTTTTTAATTTTTATTTATTTATGATAATCACAGAGAGAGAGAGAGAGAGAGAGAGGCAGAGACAGAGGGAGAAGCAGGCTCCATGCACCGGGAGCCCGATGTGGGACTCGATCCCGGGTCTCCAGGATCGCACCCTGGACCAAAGGCAGGCGCCAAACCGCTGCGCCACCCAGGGATCCCTGACTTCATTGTTTTGTATACAGTTCTAAAAAGTCTGTTGAACTGTTTCCATTTCTGCTGTAGACTAAATGTAGGAAGTTATTTATTTCTTGAGAGTTCCAAAGACACAAATTTTATTTTATTTTTATTTTTTAAAGATTTTATTTATTTATTCATGAGAGACAAGAGAGAGAAGCAGAGATATAGGCAGAGGGAGAATCAGACTCCCTGCAGGAAGACTGATGTGGGATCCTGGGACTCCAAGATCATACCCTGAGCCCAAGGCAGATGCCCAACCACTGAGCCACCCAGGCGTCCCTAATGACACAAATTTTATGACAGAATAAAATTATGTAAAAAATGTAAGCAACTCTAAAATACTACAAAAATCTTCCTTTCAAAACTATATAGGTCCCTCAACACTTCAAATGGCAGTGATTTTGTACTCAAATGTTAAAGATGCCTAACTTGTGGGAATGAGAATGGTTATGTTAATCTAAATTTTTTTAAAATTTTTTTTAAATTTATTTATTTATGATAGTCACAGAGGGGGGGGGGCAGAGACACAGGCAGAGGGAGAAGCAGGCTCCATGCACCGGGAGCCCAATATGGGATTCGATCCTGGGTCTCCAGGATCGCGCCCTGGGCCAAAGGCAGGCGCCAAACCGCTGTGCCACCCAGGGATCCCTGGTTATGTTAATCTAAAATAACTTGAGGATTTAAGAACATTTATAAGCACTTCTGATCTAGCTTAAATAATTAAAGATCCATTAATTAAGACTAGAGGAGGGTATAATGCCATTTACTGGGACCTCATGACAAGCAAGTGAAAAGTGTTGAGAGATTAGGACACTAACTATGACTCAGCTTAACTGTTCACAATAAAATATAAGTGGAAAACAAGCTAAAGGTCTGACAATGAAAAGGACTGGGTAGTAAAAAGAAATAAAGGGGGATCCCTGGGTGGCACAGCGGTTTAGCGCCTGCTTTTGGCCCAGGGCACGATCCTGGGGACCCAGGATCGAATCCCACGTTGGGCTCCCGGTGCATGGAGCCTGCTTCTCCCTCTGCCTATGTCTCTGCCTCTCTCTCTGTGTGTGTGACTACAATAAATAAATAAATAAATAAATAAATAAATGTCATCTTCACAGGTTCATAAAACTTTTTAAAATTGATATAATATTGAGAGATAGATTTTACATGCCAACCAAATCATAGTGACTATTGTTAGGTATTCGCCAAATTAAATGGAAAATATTGCCCAGAAAATAGAATGTAACTTCTTGAAACCATAAAACCTTCCTAAGACATCAAGCTACAACAAACTATAGAAGCTTTATCAAATAATTTATTCACAAGTGAGAAAATACCAAGAGAAGAAACATTCTGCTATTCCTGACTCAAGAAATCCAGTAAGGCCAAACATTCTGCTATTCCTGACTCAAGAAATCCAGTAAGAAATGTCTTCTCTCTGAAGGAGAGCAGCCTACGAAGGGCAGAGGACTCAGGCAGCTTACACTGAGATCTAGTTCCCCATCCTTTCCTGCTTGTTAACCTGGTATAGACTGAAAAACCTCATTTTTCCAATTTTCCACTCTTCATTCGATCAGTGAACCAATGTTTCCTGAAGAAATGCTTAAAAAAAAAAAAAAAGGATGTTCTAAACAATCTTTGATTCTGATTGCTCACCATCTATCTATACCTCCTTTTTGTACTGTTAACCTAATTACCTTTTGGAGAGCTACCTCTTCCCCCTAGGGATATAGTCTGGTGGGACACTTAATTAGATTCATGCCCACTCCAGCCAGGACAAGGGTACATGTCCTAAGCCAGGCCTGCTGGACCAGGCTATAAACTGTCAACCAGAGAATAAAAAGGCTGGAAATGGTTTTTGAGTTCATTCGCTCCACTCCCAGCATAGAATGAAACTGGTTTCTACCTGTTCTAAGTCTTCCCTTTGAACCTGTAATTCTTGGCTGATGTAGTATTCCAACTATTGCCCTTTTTGTTTTAGATGGAGTGGTCTTCATTATTTTCAAAGAGCTGTAAAGGAAACAACTGGATTGTATTACCCTGCTGTACTTCTACATTGAGAACCTGATCCTCAGCTTCAACACAGCTGACCTCTTCTTTCCTGAAACTTTTCACTTGGCTTCCAAGACATGACACTGCTGGCTTTTCTCCTTCCTCTACCCAAGGCTTCTCAATCTCTTCTATTTGCTTCTCTGGCTGACAAACAATAGAGTGACTCAAGTCTGATTCTAAGGCACCTTTCTTTCCGGATGTACTTCTCTCTCCCAGCAATCTCATCCATATTCATACATTTAGTTAGCCATCTAAATGCTGATGACTCTTAGGTTTATTCCTTTGGCCCAGCCCTTTCTTCTGAGCTCCAGAAAAATACCAAAATGCCTATTCAACATTGTCACTTGTATGTTTCAGAGGAAACTCAAGTCAACAGGTCCCAAACCAAGCTTATGCTCTCTATTATGCCCATCACTGCTGCTCCACAAAAAAGGCCAATCCATCCAGAGATACTTATCTCATTGAAAGGTACAACCATCTACCTAGCCAATGAAACTATAATACTAGGAAACTAGAAATCTTCTTTTTAAGCAGCGTCTTCTGCTTCTTTAGAACTCGTTATACCCAGTTACTAAGTTCTTTCATTTCATCTTTTAGATATGTCTCAAACATGTCCAGTTCTATTTTCACCACTTTTACTTTAGTCCACGCAATATTCTCCCATTGGTCTCTCCTAAGCATCTTTGCACATTAAAGGGTTAATGCCTTCTTTGCCTTACAGCTAAAAGTGATTTTTCAAATGCAAATATATAACTCCTTGAATGGTTTTGCCTTTCCCCTGGGACAAAGCCCAAATCCCAACCAGGTCCTCTGCAGTTAGACTCCTGCCTACCTGTTCTCTCAATCTTATGCCACCCAACTTGTCTACTCTCCAGCTACACTGACTTCCTGACAGAGCCTTAGAGATGTTATTTTCTCTCTGCTTGCAGTCTTTTCACGTCTTGCTCTGATTTCCCCAAATTATTAGCTCAAAACAGTAACTGCCTCAAGAAAGTCTTCTCTAATTTTCCAGAGTAAGTGAGGAAACCCTTCCCCATTATATACTATCTCTTCTCTAGTGTACATTTCACAGCTATGATTAATTGTGCAATTTGATTTTGGCCTCCCCTATAAGAATGTAAACTCCATGAGAGCCAGGTCTATAAGATCTTACGCAGTATGATATCCCCAGCACTTGCCTAGAGCCTTGCAAATATTAGACACGTTTAAAATGTTTATGATTTTTCATATTATTCACTGTTGACTCCCAAATTATTAACCTAGCCTTAACTTCTCCCTAAGTGCCAGGTTCATTTATTTAATAACCTACTGAAGCTCTTCACTGGAATATTTATTTATTTAAAAGATAGATAAATTGATTGATTTTAGAGAGAGAGAGAGAACACATGTGCATGCATGAGTGGGCAGAGGGGCAAAGTGAGAGAATCATCAAGCAGACTCCCCACTGAGTATGGAGCCTGATGCAGGGCTTGATACCACGACCCATGAAATCATGACCTGACTTGAAACCACACATTGGATGTTTAACCTATGAGCCACCCAGGCACCCCTTCACTGTGATATTTAATAAGCAACTTAAATTTAACATGTCTAAAACCTCTCAATTATGAACCATAACCCCTAAAATCTATCCCTTCCCCAGTCTTGCTCATATCAGTAAACATCACCACCATTCAGTCATTCTTCAGGTCAAACATAGTGACTGAAGTTATCATCCTTGATTCCTCTGTCCTTTACATCCCATATCCAAACCATCAATGAGTTCTATTAACTTTACCTTTGAAATAGATGTCCTAAATGTGCTCCTGACCACTTCTACACTACCACCCTAATCCAAGCCTTTATGGTCTCATCAGAACTACTGTAGCAGCGCCTCTGACACTATTTTCCACAAAGGGCCAGAGTGTCCTCCTCCCACCTCTACCCCAGAAATTCTGTAAGGCAGGGTTTCTGTTTAATCCACAGTGCTTACGTACCCACTGACTAGCACTAGGTGAGTCAGATGAGATAAAGAGTAAATATCTGCTAAATGAATGGAAATTTTAACTCAAATGCAGATTCTTAGGCTCCGTCCCTGGAAATTCTGAACCTGCATTTCTTAATCTTCAACAGGTGTCTGATGACTGAACTATCAGGCAACCTGAATCCCTCTTCTTGGAGTACTTCAAGGTTGTCCAACTTGCTCTCACTCAGGATCCGTGTCTTAGTAACATACACTGAGACCTCTGAATTGACCCTCAGACCTCAGACTTGAAAGAATGAGAAGTGAAGCCAAATCTTCAATAGAGAAAATAATTTCATTAGAACTGGCCCATAATCAAAAGCACAGCTTGCCTGAAATGGTGAGGAGGGGTTAAGTACATATAATTCTTTATTTCCCATACTTCTAGAGTTAAAACATTAATTAAATCCATAGACTGAAAAAAATTAAAAAATTTAACCTCAGCTACCATTAAACCTTCCCAAAGTTCATAAGCAATGGCAGCACTGATAATGTTCTCCTCCTTCTTTTTGTGTGTACTCTAGTGCAAATATTAACAGTCAGGGAAACGCCAAACTGCAAATAATGAAATGGAAAATAAATCCTTAGTTGCACAGCAGAGTTTTAAAAAATGTTTTTCCTAAAGATCTCATGCTTTCTGCCACACAAAAACTGTTCTGGAATGCTACACCAAATCTAATTTGATGTAGTAGGTTAAGGATTAGTCACATATTTACATATCTTAATAAGAAAATAAGTCAGGAATGTGGCTGCATATAAAATTACCCAGCAAGTTGATAACATTGAATGCTCTAATTACTGAGCAAGGAGGTCATCAGGCTCTAAAACTCTTATAACTATCCTGTAATATTTTAAAAAACAGTCTAATCCCTGACTCCCTACAAGCACTTTCATTCTTCCTTTGTAAGACATTTTCCTAAGTTTAAGTCATTCCAAACTTTCATCAGAATTAAAACCAAGGTTTTCTTGGTTTAATATGATTCACATTCCAACTTTTTTTTTTTTACATTCCAACTTTCTTTTAGAAGAACAGATAAATATACTTTCATCATTTTCAGGAAAATACAAACATAAAACCAAATAATTATAGTTCTTTCCTTTAGCTTTCATTTCAGCATGTACTGAGATCATGGGCTTCTGCCATACGTTTTTTCTTAAACTTTTGAGTCAGATGAGGTGTTAGAGGCCTTTCAAAAGCAAGAAGGCCTCAAGTGATTTGAGAAGTATAATAGTTAATCATAAGCAAATGATTCTACTTCGTGATTTGCCCAATTTCTGAAAACCACATTCTCCAACAGCCTAGCTACATAACAAGGTACTATCTTCTCTAACCTCCTCTTGGTTGGCTCCTCCCAGAAATCCCCATTACCTGAGTGGCTGGTTCTCTGGGCCCAGGTCTGTAAAGCCCATTTCCTCTAGTTTACAACGCCTATAAAGTTCATAATGCCTCATGTGGGTCTGTTCACGCAGATCTTCCATGTTGGTACAAATGAGCATTTCCCGGAGCTTTACAAAGTCACAGTGGTTTTCATTTTCCACTAGCCAGAAAAATAAGAAAACAGCAACACCAATTTTTAATTCCTGGCACATAGTATTTGTTGAATGAAAGAATCTATAAAAACACATCTGAAATAACAGTGAAATGATCAGTCTAAAATCTATGATTGTTTTATACAAATAACCAACAAAGAAACTCTTGCATTATACATGCTGAATTATAGGCAATGTAAATGAACAGATTAGGAGACTGCTTTAAATCTAGTAGGCAAGGTATAAACAGGTAAGAAATACACTCTGTTACCATATGCTCCAGTTATTTCACTAATATTTTGTTTGCAGTTTACAAACCATCCTCAGGACATTTTACAAAGTGCTTAAAGAGTCTGTAACATTATTTTACTAAAACTTCAGGGATCCCTGGGTGGCGCAGCGGTTTGGCGCCTGCCTTTGGCCCAGGGCGCGATCCTGGAGACCCAGGATCGAATCCCATGTCAGGCTCCCGGTGCATGGAGCCTGCTTCTCCCTCTGCCTGTGTCTCTGCCTCTCTCTCTCTCTCTCTGTATGACTATCGTAAATAAAAAAAAAATTAAAACTTCAAAGTAGTAATTCTGCATACTCCAGATACCATCTGTACATGCTATAATTATCAAAATTTTTTAAACCATGCCACAATTACGGTACTGTGTTTGACACCATTCAAATCAGTGAATAAATATATTTAGTTCTCCTTACACAGTCCTTCTTCTAGACTTATGATGACCAAAAGACTAGATATAAATGTGTTACTATACCAGGAGTTTTAAGCACAATTACTATTTTTATATTTTTTATACATTAAAAATGTTGTTTGTCAGTACTTCTTATTAACTACAAACTTGTCAATTTTTTTTTATTTATTTATGATAGTCATACAGAGATAGAGAGAGAGGCAGAGACACAGGCAGAGGGAGAAGCAGGCTCCATGCACCGGGAGCCTGACGTGGGATTCGATCCCGGGTCTCCAGGATCGCGCCCTGGGCCAAAGGCAGGCGCCAAACTGCTGTGCCACCCAGGGATCCCCCAAACTTGTCAATTTAAAAAAGCAGCAGCACTGGGAAACCAGTACCTAGTAGGGGTAACTCATTCCCCGTTAATTAGTACCACAAGTAAATGAACCAGACAATACTAATCACTTATTCATACAATGCTAGATAAATCTTAAAATTTTTTAATTGGTTGACTAGTTTGTTTTGGAAATAGTTGGCAATACTCTGATGACTAAAGATACTTTAATGTACAAGATGGTTTATTATGTCTAGAAGTACCTAGTATTTAGTTTATGCATCATGTTTAAACACTAGTATTTATACTCAAATTCTGTTCAAAGTACCTGACTAGTGTTTCCTACTTTCTGATTGTCTTGTCACACCAGGCACAAAATATGTGTAGTATAATGCAGAAAATGGGGAAGCTCCGCCCAGCCTCTATAGACTTGGCCAAAACAGAACACATTTCACTTTTCTGATGACTAAATCATAACCCAAAATAAGTATCACCTCAGAGAATGCACGGAAAGTAAACTTTCAGACTGTTAGGTGACATACATATTCCTAGGCATTATTCATGTCATTTACCTTGTACCACACCCCAAGGGTACTGGCGAGCTTTGACCATCTTATTTCCAACTTTTACCTCATCCATACTTCCTACAACAGCAAATGGCAAATGTCCCTGGAAAGGAACCATGATACCAAATCATATCTCACACCATTGTGATAAATGACTAAAAAAGTTTTATGAAAATAACGTATTAGAGAAAATTTACTAAATAACAAAGTTATTAACTGAAATGATCTGCTGTGCCTCTGATTTTTAAATTTGGCAGTGAATATATGCAAACTTTTCTATAAAAGTACATTTTAGGCCCCATAAAGAAAATTATTTTTTGAGCATTCCCCACATGCAAGGTATTATGCTATAGGAATAAGGGAAAAAGATCAGTATTATCTCCGCCATAAAAGACAATGTTAGGGAAATTACACACATACATATACTCACAAACACAAAATAAATAACAAAACTATCTATCTATATTTAGTGTATGCATAGATATACGATACTAATACAATGTCCCAAGCCAGTGCTAAGTACAGTAAACGTTACATAAACTTGGATCACTGTGAGCAGGAAGACAACCCAAACTGGAGATGGATCAAGGACAGTAAGAACTTAGGTGAGGAAAAGATTTTGAACAAACACATAATAGTTAGCTTTAGGGCACAGTGAGTAGATCAGTCTGTCTGAAGCTGAGGATTAATACAGGACAAAAGTCTAATGTAAAACTACTAAGTATTATGTTTAGTAATTGACACTTAGTGTCTTAATTGTGCCTGAAAAATGATTCGAAGTGAGCACAAAAAATAAAATTAGATCTAAAGACAATATAACATATAGGTATTGAGATCACTTCTTTTCTATTAGTCAGCTTTATATATATTTAAATAAAGTATCTTAATGAAAAGTGAGAAAAGGAAAAGGAGAAGTGGCATGAACAGTTACTGAATGTCACTGTGTTAGGCAGTGAACAAACTATATCCTCACAATGACCCATTCGCAGGTATTAACCCAATTTTGTAGGTAAGTGAACAGTCTCAGGAAGGTTAATAACTCCCACAAGAACTATGGCTAAGTCAAAACTAATAACCCTTTAAAATATAACCAGATACTTAAGAAATTTAGTAGCCCGAAGAAAGTAACACAAAGAACTTAGCCAACTTCAATTATATTAAATGAAAGTTTATGTCAATGTTTAATACGTTAAGTCTGACACTGTAAGGAAGGATGAGCTTAACTACCAGATTAGAAAGGTGTCCTTAAAGATTTTAAGATTCCAAAGCATTCCAAGGGAGAGTATAGACTTCCCATGTTTTTAAAGACAGGATAAAAAGCATCTTTCTAAGGCAATTAATAAGTACAGTACCACAAAAGGAGTATCCCAGCCTTGCCAATGTATCATGTTATTTAGTTGAAAGTAGAGGAAAGAAAATATGCTCAAAAATATATTCTCATATATTTTTTCCAACTCTAAAAGTCTTTTTGGAAGATATAAATGAAAATGTGTTAGTAGGAAAAAAAAAAGAAAATGTGTTAGTAGGAAAGTCACTTATAAATTACTCTTCACATGTAAACAGAATTAACATTCAACTAGGAGCTTACATTCATTGAAGCATTGATTTTAGCAATAGTTTCATCATCTGTTGGGAACTGATATATCTGGACACCGTTGCTAACCAATTCACTCATGAGCTTAATCTTAAACTTCTGTAATTCAGCTTTAGAAATTGCATCTGCTTTGGCAATCACTGGTATAATGTTTACCTATCAATAATAAAGAAAAACAAAATATTGTAATTGAGGATTTACTTTTTAATTCACATTCAAAACCACTCAATATCTGACAAACTTCCTTAACCTAGATCAGGGGATGAACACACTATGTATGGTCTAGCTCACTGCCTGTTGATATAAAGAAAGATTTACTAGAACACAGCTAGGCCCATTCATTTACATATTACCCACAGCCACTTTCATTCTCCAATAGCAGAGATAAGTAGTTAACCTCAGAGACCATATGGCCTGTAAAGCTTAAAGTATTCACTGCTTGGTTCTTCACAGAAAAAGCTTATCAATTCCTAACCTAGATAATCACTGGCTGTCAATGCCACCACATTCTCCTACACAATCATTCCTACAGATGCAGGCCTTAATAGTAACTGCTTTTAAAAAACAGAGTTCTTATAATTAATCTTACATTTGAATTTAGGGTTAGAAATCTTACATTTTCAAAAAAAAAAAGAAATCTTACATTTTCTTCTCTTTCTCAAAGTCTCTTATAATTCTATCACATACCAAATATAAGCAGGAAGCTGAGATCATCTGCTTAATTCACTAAGTATTTTTTTTTAATGTCTAGTTTTTTTTTTTTTTTAAGGATTTTATTTATTAGAGAGAGAGAGAGAGAGAGAGAGAGTGGCAGAGACACAGGCAGAGGGAGAAGCAGGCTCCACGCAGGGAGCCCTATGTGGGACTCGATCCCAGGTTTCCAGGATGAGGCCCTGGGCTGAAGGCGGCGCTAAACTGCTGAGCCACCTGGGCTGCCCTCACTAAGTATTTTTTATGTCTTAATAATCTAAATACTAAATAATCAGGGTAAATGATCCCTCGGCAAAACTATGAAGCAAATGAGTTTCTTCTTTGCCTCTCATTTTGGCAGATCCCCTCCCCAATGGATCCATGTAATCTGTACTCTGTTGTGAGAGGCTCCTACCTAGATGTTGAAGGAAGAAAATTTTATAAATACCAACTGAAAATGCTGATGACTATTCCCAGCCTTAAAGTCCTATTACTGACCAGAGAGGAAAAAATCCGGTGTCATGAAGACTAACTTTACAACATTAGTCCCATAGAAGATTAATGTCTCCACAAATGTAGGGGTTTAAAGGCTTTTTGTTTTCATTTTTTTTTTTTAAGGTTTCATTTATTTATTTGAGAGAGAGGAGGAGAACGAGCAGTGGGGAGGAGCAGAGAGAGAGGGAGAAGCAAACTCCCTGCTCAGCTGGGAGTCCGACATGGGGCTCAATCCCAGGGCCCTGGAGATCATGACCTGAACCAAAGGCAGATATCTAACTGACTGAGTCACCCAAGAGCCCCTATTTAGTTGGTTTTAGTGAAAAACTTCAGGCTAACTAGTCATTGTATCATGAGAGTGAGATACCAATTTAATTTTCAGAATGAAAAGGAAAAGAAAAAAAAATCCTATTCTTAAATTTCTTGCTCTTCTCCAATTTCACACTAACTTACTGTGTATATTTGGATTTATTATTCTTATAAATATGCTTCACAGGAAATAAAGATTTTTTCTTTACCCATGAAGACTTACCAGCAACTGTGGGTAAACAGCTTTCATGCTAAATTAGTTAAAGTACATAAAAATTTGATGCTAAGTTCTTGGTTTCAGTATTATATACTTAGACTGTCATTAAATTATGCCAGGTTAATAACTTATAATTGATTCCACAGTAAATAGTGAAAGCACACTGTAGTTTAAGTGCCTGTAGTTTAAGTGCCTGACATTAAGCTTTTCATTGCCAAGGTACTCACTTCAAAGACATGCATGTCGAACAAACATACTGCCAACCTATGGCACAGTTATTATCAAAACTGAATAAGACACAAAGCCACCCCCCCCCCCGGAGAGTTCCCCTTTTAGGAAACCAAGGTGACCTGGATAACTGAGCACTTGAGTGACCCTACTTCTTCCTCCCCATGCCCTAATCCCGCTCTTACGCTTTAAATTTGCTAATAGAGTGTATCTATGAAACCCTAGATACTTGACCCTCAGCCCTAATAAAGGCAGAGCCCAGATTCACACTTGATCTCATCGTGTGGCCCTCCAGCATGTTATGTGCCCTCCAGGACCTGTGAGTAATAGATCTTGTTCTTCAGAGTTCTCTCATTGTATCTAGCTGAAGTGCATCCTGAGATCAGAGTAAGAGCCACAAGGGCTGGCCGAGCCATGACACTGGCCCTGGGGAGGATGTCTGTGGGGTTGCCATGAGTAATATGGTTGGGGGAGTACCTCAGGCATTCCTAGCCAAGAATATCACTGTAATTAGGCTGGGAGGGTACACCACAGGCTGAAAGCTACACGCATGTTTATTTGTACATTGGCGGGAGGGAAAGAGATGTTTCACACTGAGGGTAACTTGTCACTGTTTGCATAAGGTAACTTTTATGTGAAGCAATGGAACATTCTGCTTTTAGGGACAAAAGACAAGCTATCAGTTTAATTAATCCTCACATCTGCCCCTTCATTTTTTATTTTAGAGTTGAGGAAATGGAGGCTCAGGAGGCTATAAAAACTTGCTGAAGAACACAAAGCTATTAAGTGACAGAGCTGATACATAAAACCAGCCTCCACTGACACCAACTTCTATGCTGTTTATAGAGATTATATTATGTTGCTTCTGTCTAGCTAAGACAAACTCACACATGCTTGATTTTATGTTATTTTATGAATTTCCATATAATCAGACTCAACTATGAAAATACTGGATAAATGGTTATAACATCTGATCAGATGAGTAGACTATCACATAATCTTCATCAAGTTTTGGCTAAAGCCAGAGGACTATGCAACTAGCCAAAAGTCAATCAACCTACATACCACAACTTCACTAGCAGCTTTATGCTTTCCATATCGATTTCTACACAGAAAGTAGTACTTGCCAGAATGCCCTTCTTCCTGAATCCTATCTCATAAAATCATTAGCCAGGATAATGAAAGCTGCATTTCTTATACCATCAGAGGTTACGAGAAAACTGTGTGGAGTCTTTTTAGTACAAGATCATAGTCTTCAACCACCTTTTACACAGATTTTTAAATCAAGTAAGTTAATTTGTAGATATTATTTTTCATAGCTCCCTGCATTTATATATAACTCCTTGGTTCAGAAATTAAAAAATAGGCTTTCTTGGTATAGTTCAAATCAAAGCATAATATACTATAACACATGATGAAACATTAGACCTTCCTCTTTTTCAATGAACTTCTTTTTACTTAACAGCATCATAAAGTAAAATTAGTATCAAATAAATTCTGGCATGCAGTTTAATTACTAAAAAACAGGACTAAAATTTTATGTTATTGTATTCTCTTTGCAGCTCGTCTTTCAAACTGAGTTTCTCTGGAATAATCTAAGATTGAAACTTATCAAATGTTTTTAAAATGCACAGAATAAAAGTTAAAATATATTTACATGCTATAAAAATATTGTAAATAAATATTAAAGCATGATAAATTCATTCCTTTTCCAAGCCCACCTTGCTGTCAAGGCTCTTCATTGTTAAGAGATCCAGTGTCTTCAGAGAGTGACCTGTAGGTGAGATGAAATAGAGGCACACGTGGATTCGAGAATCATGGTAGTTAAAGAGAGAGCGCTTGATCTTCAGCTCCTCTTGGAGATAGGCCTCAAACTGAGCATCTATGTAGTCAACTATCGGTTGGTAGCTGAAAAAATAAACATTAAATTATTTAATCGAGCTTACTCATGCTACCTTAATAAGATATTTATGTAATTCTAAAGTGTGAGATCTATATTTTTAAGAATAAATAGCTACTATCTTTGCTAAACAGAGAACTTTAGTAATAAAACAAAGTGCACAGAACATGCATGTACAAAGGTAGTATTTCAAAACCATAAGTACAACCTGTGCTTTAAATTGCTTTATAGAAACTGAATGTACACGAACTCATTCTTACATATACTGCACCCCTTTCTGATAAAAGTTCCCATACTTGCCAGAGTGCTGAATGAGGCCAGGCACTGAACTATAACCAACGTGGACATGACATGTTATTTAACCAACAAAAGTCATGAGTATTAATAACTTAAAAGTTATTTAAGTCAAATTCTGTGATTTCTTGTTTCTTAAATCAGATTCATAAGACATAAAGAACAGCAACAAAATAAAGAGGAAAGATATACATCAAATGAAAGTAACTAGTAATGCAGGCATGATTTTATCTTTAATTACAAAGGAAAGACACACACACTCTATGTTCTGAGTCCTTGCTTAGATCACTTCTCTCCCTGGCATGCCTTTTCCCATTAGCTACTTCATTCTGTTCATCCTCCAAGGTGCGAATCATGTCACACTCCATGTGTATGGGCATTCACCTTAATTTGTGAATGTCCCACTTCATTCTGATATACTAAATCACTACCTATATAATTCAATGTTCTACTCTTAACTATTCTTATTAAGTAAATCTGGTTTTCCAAGTGAAAATAATAGCAAATTGTTCCTCTGTCAAATTCCCTGGACACTTTTATAATTATTTTTGTAGCCCAAATGGAGCTGTGCTTTGTGCAGCTAAGGTACTCAGTACATGTGCACAGAACTGAATTCTTCCATAAATCTGCTTGATCCTTCTAGTCCTTAAGGATCATCACCTCTTTTACTCTCACTGACTACCTTGTCCTTCCCATGCAGATGGTAAACCATGTGAGGACAGACAGTATCTTATACTTCTATGTTCTACACAACACCTAGCATATGCTTTGAACATGATCAGAGAGAGTGTTAGGAACACATGTATTCACTACCAGGAACACCATCCTTGGGAAATTTGTCTAAATATGATCCAACACAATTCCCTCCCAAAAATAACAAAACAGTTAAAATTAATCTGTAAGTACATGTTTAACATAAAAAATTCAAAGAGGTATTTATTAATGCCTTGAAAGAGATTAGTAACATGACCCATTTTATGACCTAATGGCCATAGACAGTCCTCTACCTGACCATGCTGCATTACGCTTGTCATAAATGAAAATTGAAACATTTTCTACTAAATAAATAGCGTACTGTTAGGAATTCTTCCACAGTAATTTGCCCTAGATTTCCATTTCCAATACACTGCAACTCAGTCTTCCAATGAAACAAAGGATAATGGCTTAAAATATAAAAATCATTGATCTTAAAAGCCTATACCTTCAGGGTAAGAATGAACTAGAAATTAACCTACAATTCCTCCCCACTCCCCAGGTTCTGTAGGAAAGGTTGCCCTGGCACTAAATGAAGCAGGGAAAATAAAAGGAAAGGAAAAAAAATAGTCCTTGAGAACTTAAAGCCACAGGGTCTGCCCTCACACATGTATGCAGCCCAGGCTCACAGTGCCTCTTTGATGCTGAGAACCCCAAGACATGAAATGAGTTTAAGGATCCTCAGGGTATTAATGCCAACAGGGACCTAATATGAACAAATCCAAATCTGTTCAAAGGAAGACAACTTCATCTTGGACCTCAAAGTATCTCTGCAAATAGTATTTCAAAGACCATGAGAACTACAATAAAAATATCACCAAGCGGATAAGGGGGAAAAGGCAAAATGAATGAGAACCAAAGGAAAAAACAAACAGGGGTAAATAATTTATAATCTTATGTGCATAAGGTTGAGAATCAATGAGAAATTAGAGCAAATTAGATCAAAACCCAAAGAAATGTAAATTTAGGTGTAAAAGCAGAAATAAGTAGGAAAACAAACAATATAAAATTGAGAGGACCAATAATAAAGCCAAAATTTGTAAAAGCCAAATAGACCAATAAAGCTTTGTTGAGACTAATCAAAGGGAAAATAAAACAAGCATGAATAACCCAAATCAGAAAAGGAAATGCAGATATCATCATAGATGATGTAAGCAATCAAAAGATATTAGGAATATATTATCAAATATTTTAAGTAAATATCTTTGAAAATTTGGATGAAATGGACAGATTCTTAGAAGAATGTAATATTACAACTGTCTCTAAATAAAACAACTCTAAATTGTCCTATAATCATTAAAGAAAATTAAATTAGTAATTAAAAATCTCAGAAAACTCCAGACTGAAATGGTTTTACTAGTGAGTCCCACCAATCACTTCAGGGAAAAATAATTCTGACTTTATACATAATATAAAAAGAATATAAAACTGTACAAGGCTAATTTACCAATGAAAAATCAGTTACTATAATTCATCTTGTTAAAGATTAAAGAAGAAAATGTATAATCTTCTCTACAGAATGCAAAAACAAAAAATATCGGATAATATTTATTCATGATTAAAAAAAAACCTCTCACCAGTAATACAATGGAACTTCCTTAGGCCAACTTTAAAAAAAAAAAGCAAATAAGCATTATAAATGGTAAAAATAAAACTCTCCCTTGCATTGAAACACGTCAAAGATAACCCATTAATACCACTGATTATCTAACATACTATAAGTCCTACCCACACAATCAGGTTTTAAAAATGGGAGACAGAAAAATAAAAACTATCTTCAGCCATGATGAAGTAAACCAGGACTGGATTTACTCTCCCACTCTGAACAACTAGAAACTTGGATAAAATATAAAAAAAAAAAATACTTTCAGACACCAGACAACAGGCAATATATAAAAGTGTTTGTTGAGAAGGGAAATAAATGAGATAAGCTTCATGACTCCCCCAGCTTACTGCCGGAGTTTCCAGGAACAGCACAAAAGAGCATAAAGCCTAGCAAACTTACTGAGTTGAAACAGAAACAGGAGTTCAGGGAGGCCAAGGCAACTAGAATTTTAGGCAAGAACACTGAATAGAAGGCAGCTGCACCAACAGAAGATCTAGATAGACGGTGGTTCCCTCCAGTCTGTGGTGAAACACTAATTTTCACATACATGTGAGGAAAGAACCCAAGACTATGGATATTTCCTATATTATAGTCATGATGGTAGTTACAAAACTATGTATTTGTCAAAATTAACTGAATTGTACACTAAACTCAGTGCATTTCATTTATTCTATGTAAATGATACATCAATAAAACTTATTTTAAAACAAACTGAGAACAGAAATATAAATTCATTACTTGTAGATTATACTATTATATATACATAGAAAATCTACACAAATTTGGAGATGAATTGTTGGAATTAATCAGAGAATTTACAAAAGTCACTATCTGCAAAATCAACTATTTTTCTATACACCAAAACAGAAAATGAGGTATTTCTAAAAATTATCATCTACAGGAGCATCAAATATACCAAATACCTAAGAATAAATTTAAGTAAAGCTGTCTAAGACCTCTACATATAAAATTATAAAGAAATTATAGAGATTTATTTATTTATTTTTAAAGATTTTATTTTATTTATTTATTCATGAGAGGCACAGGGAGAGGCAGAGATATAGGCAGAGGAAGAAGCATGCTCCCTGCAGGGAACCTGATGTGGAACTCAATTCTGGGACTCCAGGATCAGGCCCTGAGCCAAAGGCAGATGCTCAACCACTGAGCCACCCAGGCATCCTGAAATTGTGAAGATTTAAAGTAACATGTCATAGGCTTCTGACTTTACAACTAACCTGCTTTTTCTAGAAAGTCCACATAAATGTGCTGAAAAGGCAAATGTAAGTCACATTAAAGGGAGTCAATTATGCAACTCTTTCCTTTCTAAAGCAAATTTTAGGAAATTAGAAAATTAGCTCTAATAATGAAAATATTTCAAAAAGGAAAAATAACAGAAGTTATTGCTTTACCCCAATCTATTTCCCTGTTTCATACTTTAAATTTCATACAGAATCTATAATCATTCTTTATAATACCACAGGAGAAATAATAACATAACATAAAATATAAACAACAATTTCACTATCAAACCTTTCCTGTAATGCTTAATAATAATGGACCTGGCTGATTTGCTTAGAATTCCACACACAGAGAAAAATTCACGCACCATGGATTTGGCCATTATATATTTGCCATTTTATGTCTTGGTTTTTTTTTTTTTCCTTCAACAAAGTTAAGTCCTGCCTCAAAATTAGTACAAATCACTTATGTTTTTTAAAGATTTTATTTATTTATTCATGAGAGACAGAGAGAGAGAGAGAGAGAGAGAGAGAGAGAGAGAGAGAGAAGAGAGAGAGAGGCAGGTTCCATGCAGGGAGCCTGACATGGGACTCAATCCCGGGTCTCCAGAATCACACCCTGGGCTGAAGGTGGCGCTAAACCGCTGAGCCACCTGGACTGCCCCAAATCACTTATACACCAAATTGGCATATGAAAAAATAATTAAGGCAATTTTTGCCAAAATATACATTTCTATAATGTGAAGTTAAATTATGCTAAAAAATTAAGACAACTAGATATAAAAATGCCGATTTATTAAGAACAAAACATTGCTGAATTATTAAAAAACAAAAAGTGAAGTCTGGAAAGAAAGGAAGACAAATGTGTTGAAATAAGAAAAACCTATTTTATTACAATAAGAAAATGTGTACCTCTCTTCTTTGTTTATTTGGTCACCAAATCCTACTGTATTCACGATGGTCAATTTCAATCGAACATTACTTTCATGGAGTTCATATGTCTGGGCTTTAAGTCTAACATGTGGGCAAAAATGTGAGGACTCCTGGTCTTCAAAATTAGTATTAAACAATGTGTCAATCAGAGTTGATTTTCCAATTCCAGTCTCTCCTGAAAAAAACAAAGGTACATCTTCACAGGTGCAGAGGACAAATGAGAAAAAATAGAACTCCTAGACTGGTTTCAAGGATCCCAAATATTTCAAACATTCCAAAGGTTGAATTGTCTTTTAAAGACATACAAGTTAAGGCTCACCCACCGAGTCATTAGCAGAACATAAAGTGAGTATAGATACTAAGTTACTCAGAACTCTGAGGAAAGCACTAAAATATTCAAAGAACAAAAATGTTTAAAGCAGTACAACTAAAAAAAACAAAACTGATAGAATTTAAGTAACTGAAAAAAATCTGCAATCATGATCTCAAATTAATAGCATGAGCATCATACGGCTTCCAGGAGTGAAGAGAACACAAGGAATGTAAAGGAATAATTTCAAGGAAGAGTCTGGCACTTACCCACACAGAGAATATTAAAACAGAAGCCTTGCTGAATGGATCTGTTGACCAGCTGATCAGGCAAACTCTCAAAGCCAACATGGCCAGACATAGTTAAAGAACGAATATTTCCCTTTTTTTGCTGAAGGAAAACAAAGACAACATCAATAATTTAAAAAAAATGAAGAAAAACAAACAAAAAAAAACTTTTACTGAAATAGGATACAGCACATCTGAAAGGATAAATACAATTTACCAAAGAAACTAAGGATTTTATGATCATTATACCTTCACCAAGATACAACGATATTAAGTAAATTTGTGAGAAACCTGTTTCCAGAACCTGAAAACACATACACATTTCTTATTCTCTTCCTACAATAGGAGTCCAGCATTATTTGTAACATTCAAATGTTTGATTTCCAAAAAATAAGAAAATACTCAGGTAAGCTATGGCATATTTACTCACAAAATGGAATGTTTATAAAGTTATTATAGATGTTTATGATAAATATTTAGTAACTTAAGTTTTACATTAAAATATCACATGAAAAAAGTACAATACAAAATTAAACAGTTTCAGCTCCCAGTAGTGGCAGAGTAACTTATGTCATATTAATGTCCCTGCTAATAACAATCTATTCTTCCAAGTCAATGCAGTGCAACCAAAGGCCAACAGACACTAGAAGGAATGATACTCTTAGGAGGAAACCATGTAAGGTGAGATGCACATTTTCTCAGTCTTTCTGAGGGCACACCCCAGTCAATGCTGCGCAAAAAAAGACAGACCTCCAGATAGAAGTGGTAGTCTTACTGAGTTGAGAAGTTGGAAGTAAGGGAAGGCAGAAGAGCTGAAAATTGAAGAAGAAAATTCCAGAAATGAGGGAGTCCAAAATCTGCAAATGCACTTGCCTCAAATCTCTGGCTAATCACTGAACTGCACAAATACAGTGAGAAGGCAAAAGAGCCTAGCAAGGTGGAAATGGAAATTGGAAGGAGCTATGTAGAGTTTTCAAGAATGCCATCTTGGGGGGCTTGAATTTTAGCTCTGTAAATTAAAGGGGCTCAATAAACACTTCAGGCTTTCCACTAAAAACCTATATGGACCACATTTTAGGAGTAAGGGTCACATCCCAGGAATCAGAAGTGTTCCCTAGTAAACAACTGAAATAGACTTGCCCTAATAAAGCATATAACCACGGCTCAACATGAACAACATAACAAGCTAGTATTTTACTACCTGCCAGAACCAAGGTCAACACTCTTCAGAAGAAGAAATCAGAATCCAGCACTCTGTAATGTACTATCCACAACAGCTACTATACAATAAAAAAATTACTACAGAAGAAGAAGCAGAAAGATGTGATTCATAGGGAAAAAAAATCAATAGAAAGAGATCCATAAATGAACCAGATATTGAATCAGCTGATAAGAACTTTAAAATAACTATGATAAATAAGCTGAAGAAGAAAAATATGCTTTTTTTCTACAGAAAAAGAGATGGGTATAATGGGTGACAAATTACAAGGGAGATATAAAAGCTCTCAACAACAAAAGTCAACAAATGGAATTCCTAGAAGGAAAAATGCAACATCTGAAATAAAAAACATATTAAACAGTATTAACAGGAGATCAAACAATGGAGAAAACATTTGTTCAATAGTTATTATCTAAGCTGAATATCCTTATCTATCCAAACTAAAAACCTTTTGAAGAAAAAATAAAACTGTAATAAAGTCCTCCCCAAACCCCCCCAAAAAACCTATGGGACAATATCAAATGATCTTACATACCTATAACTAGAATACCATTTAGAAAAGATGGGGCGAGAGACTGGGTGAGGGAAGAAGGAAACATCTAATATAGTAACCAAAATTTTTTCAATTTTCTAAACATGCACTCAGAGATCCAAAAATTTTATCAATTACAGACAGGTAAAATCCAGGGCAACCCACAACTAGGCACAGTAGAGCAAAATGTTTCAAAACAAAGTTAAAGAGAAACTTTACCAGCAACCAGATGTGGAAAGACATATTACACACAAGTAAAACATATAAAGTGACTACAGGTTTCTCATAAACTACAATGCAAAGCATAAGACAAGAGAACAACATCAATAAAATGCCAAAAGAAAAAAATGACAACCTAGAACTCCATATCCAATGAAAATATCATTCACAAATGAAAGTCAAAGGAAGATATTGTCAGACAAAAGATAAATTGGAGAAAATTCACTAAGAGTAGACTTACACTATGGGAAATGCTAAAAGTTCTTAAGAGACAGGAAAATGACAATATATAGAAAGGAAAATGACACCAGATCTACAAAAAGGAATGAAAACTAGGTAGAAATGTAGGTAAATGTAAGAGAATTTTTTTTGTTGGTTTTAATTTCTTGAACATATAATTGCTTAAAGCAACAAAAACAATAATGTATTGCAGAATTTGTGATCATGGAGAAGTAGAATGTATGACAGTGACAGCACAACAAATGGGAGAGGGAATAGAGAGCAAGCAACTGTTGTCAGGTTTCTCTATTATACATAAAGTATTATAATATTGTTTGAAGATATGTGTGGTAAATTAAAGCCTATGCCAATTACTATTTTTAAAAAACAAAAGAGCAAAGAGGTATAGCCAATAAGTCAATAAAGATGAAATGCAATAGGGATCCCTGGGTGGCGCAGTGGTTTAGCGCCTGCCTTTGGCCCAGGGCGTGATCCTGGAGACCCAGGATCGAGTCCCACGTCTGGCTCCCGGTGCATGGAGCCAGCTTCTCCCTCTGCCTATGTCTCTGCCTCTCTCCCTCTCTCTCTCTGTGACTATCATAAATAAATAAAAATTTTAAAAAAAGATGAAATGCAATAATAAAAATATTGACCATAAAGCACAGAAAAAGAAAAATGAAAGAATAAGTGGGACAAAGAGAAAATAGCAGCATATTGGCAAACTTAAACCTAGCCAAATCTATAATTACATTAAATGTAAGTGGTCTAAACCAGTGATGGTGGAAGTATTTGGTATCTGAGCAGTACAACAGGAAGGAGCTGATTTTTAAAATTTTATTTTACTGATTTAAATTTAAACAGCCACATGCAGCTAGTGGCTACCAAACTAGAGAGTGAAAGTCTAAATGTTTCAGTTAAAAAAAGGAAATTGTCAGACTGGATAAAAAAGCAAACTCAATTCTATGCTGTCAATATAGTAACTGATAAGCTGGTTCTAAAATCTGTATGGAAATGCAGATGATTAAGAATAGCTACAACAATTATGCAAAAGAATTGTGGTCCTGTAACAATCTAGTTATTTATTTGTCTACTTCATCAAAATTAAAAAAGTGATCATCAAGGAATATGTAAATTAGAGATTGAAAGAAAATATATATTCGACACATACATGACAAAGCACTTATATTCAGAATACATACAGAATTCAAATGGTTTAATGACAATCCATTTTTTTTTAAATGGGTAAAGATTCAAACAGAACTTCAGAAAGAAGATAACAAAATACCCAATAAGCAAATGAGAGAGTGCTCAACATTACTGGTTATCAGGGAAATGTGAATTAAAACTACAGTAAAATATCACTGAACACCCACTAAAATAGCTAAAATTTTAAGAAGCTGATAATGTCAAGTATTACAGATTATGAAGTGGAACTCTGATAAATTTGCTGGTGTGAAAGCAAAATGGCACAGCCACTTTGGGTAACAGGTGGGTAGTTTCTCATAAAGTAAAATACACATTACTATACAACCAAAAAACTATACCTGTAGGTACTCAAGATAAATAAAAACATATATGAATGTTCATGATAGCTTTTCTTTTTTTAAGATTTGTTTATTTATTTATTTATGATAGACAGAGAGAGAGAGAGAGAGAGAGAGAGAGAGGCAGAGACACAGGAGGAGGGAGAAGCAGGCTCCATGCCGGAAGCCTGACGCAGGACTCGATCCCGGGACTCCAGGATCACGCCCTGGACCAAAGGCAGGCGCCAAACCGCTGAGCCACCCAGGGATCCCCTGTTCATGGTAGCTTTAATCCAAACAGCCAAAAACTAGAAACAACCCAAATATCCAACAGTTAGTGAATGAAGAAATAAAATGTAGTATATCCATACAATGGAATACTAAACTGATATATGCCACGATATAGTTAAGTCTCAAAAAGTCTCAAAAATTAAGTGATTTACTTACCTTGATTTGACAAAGAAAATAAAAGTATATTTTTCATATGTTCTCATATACATGAATATGGATAAAAATCTTTCAAGGATAGTGAAAGACTATGCACAGTGGTTATTACTAAGGAATGGTCTTGGAGGTGGAGGTGAGAAAGATTCACTTTTTATTTATATGATGGGTAGAATTCTAATACAGTCCCTGGTGTACCCACACCTTCTGTTTTTTTTCAAACACTAAGTACTGCTATGAAGGGATTTTACAGATGTAATTAAGGTTCCAGATCAGTTAACCTAAGAAAGGGAGATTATCCGCGGTGGGTAGGTGAGCCCTTAAAAAGGACTGAGAACTTCCAGGTGAAAGAGATGTGAAGCCTGAAGGGGATCTGACATGGGGTTCTCCCCTGTTGTATGGACAACAGAGAGTTATATGGCAAGGACATAAGAATGCTCTTTAGGAGCTGATAGCAACCAGACAGCAAGAAACTGAATCCTGCCAACAGCCTGAAAGAGTTTGGAAGGGGAGCTTCAAATAAGAACCCAGCTAGCCAACATCCTGAGTGAGGCCCTGAGCAGAGAAGCCAGCTATGTTGGCGTGGCTTTCTAACAACCTACAGCACTATGAGCTAATAAAGAGGTGTTATTTTAAGAAGCTAAATTCATGGCAATTTGTTATGGGGCAACAGAAAACTAGTACATTATATTCTCTTTTCTACTCTTTGAATCCCTTTTAGTCTTGTGTTTATTATTAAGAAAGTGAAGAAACACTATGCTTCCCAGTCATGAAGGTATTCAAGAAGATTAGAGTAATACATGTCAGAGTTTTTACCTGATAAGCACATGCTTATCAGCTAAAAGCTGAACTAAACAGCATACAGAATCCCTTCTAGTTCTAAAGCTGTAAGATTTCAATATCATGGAAATAAAAAAGGCTTTTTTAAAAATGTGGTGGTGGTCACCATAATTTAATGAAGAAGAGGGGCTAGAGAAAATGAGGACTAAACAATGACCATTCAGTGGATTACTAGTGACTGTGACAGCAGTTTTCAGCAAAGCAATGTGTTAGAAGGCAGATAAAGAGTCATACCAAAGGTCTGCAAGGTGATAAAATAAAGATAGGGCAGGCTATTATTACCAATGAGAGAAAAAAGATAAAAAGGATGGTAGTTTGGTGGTCAAACTACAATTTATCAAAACAGTGGGGCCCTTAGCATGTGTGAAGGAAGAGGGAAAAACAAGAGGCCTAATGGGCATAGAACTAAAGAAAATTATTTCATCTTACCAAATTACCCATGCTTATATTTGCAATTTTCTATTTAAAGAATCATCAAAAAATGAAAAAAATAAAAAAAGAATCATCATCTCATCTTTTTCATCAAGTTAAATTCACTCCCCTTTAAAATGTAAGTTTTAACATGAGTTACCAAAACCTCCATCCTATGCAGCCACACTTAGAAAAACCATTAAGGGCTGATCTCACGCTCAGGAAGGCATCTGACAGCGCCATTCAGGGACTTCCTACACTCTGTCATTAAAGGAATTCTCTCCATCCACCAAGTTCTGCAAGCATGCCCAGCAAAAGCAGTGCTAGTCATCCTACTCAATGCTGTGGGAGCAGTTAAAGTATTAATTTGCTTTATGTCCCATAGGAAAGAGACACCGTAAACACTTAGTGATTATTCAATCCATTATTGATTTGTAATTTCAATCAACATCAAAGTTAATTTACATTCAAGATACAAACAAAAGTCTGTCGGGTCTCTGAATAGTTATTTTAAAATCCTAGAGGGGTGTAAAGTACATTACAGATCTATTTAAAAGATATACTCACTTTCTGTTCATCATCAGATACTTGTGAGGACAGACAAGTTGTTTTTGTTGGCATGTGAGACTGAAAGAGCTGAAAAATAAAATTAAAAGATATTACTCCAAAAAATCCTATATCTAAATAATATGTCTATATTAAAAGGAATTCCAGTATTATCATTAACACCAAGTTTTGACTTGCAATCTATACAACTTACTCATGCTTAACACCATGGTTTTCTTGATGGATAAATATATGCAAAAGTAAATATAATATTCAACATATAACATATCAATATACTTACCCACATATGCAAAAATACTGTAAAAGAGTAAAGTCTCTTTTACATCCAAGAAGACAAAGAACATTACTTTTATTTAAAAGACTAAATTTACAGTGGAACCAGAAAAGACCCTGAATAGCCAAGGGAATGTTTGCAATAGTGAGGAATGAAGGAAGACAAGAACAAGAGAAGTGGTAATTTCAAAGCGATCCTGCCTCAAAAACTGATACTTTTTAGTGTAACACAAATACTAAGGAAATGTGGCATTTTTAAAAAAAGTAGTATTAATATGGATGTAGTAAGAAAAATGTAAACAGTGCCAGTAAGAAAATAATGCAAAATAAGTTCCTTTCCTACCCTTGATTTACTAGTACCTCAGCAGACCTACATATCCTCCCAGAGTCAGATCATGCATGTATGAGTACCTGTGAGTGTGCAGGTGTCTGAATTTATACAAATGGTAGTCGCCTCTTTCTCTGTATTGTGTTTTCTCCCCTTAATCTCTCATTGGAGACTGCTTCACTATTACACAGATCTACTTCATTCCTTTGGTAGTACAGCATTCTGTTTTATATACAACAATATATGTGGATCTCTATTTTTATTTAAGCAGTCCCTAGTCTTTAATTATAATAAACTATGCTGCAATGAACAGCTTTGATCACATGTACGATGAAAGGGAGAACCTTACTACTGCACCAAAAGAAGAGTGTTTTGGCACCCTAAAGTGCCCCCAACCATACACACACATGGATTGCGATGCAATGTCACAGATACACAGGTATGTATCATGCCCGGATTTTACAGAATGCTGACAACAACCTCTCTCTGTATGTTCTGGGTAATATAATCTTTTGAAGCTGGCCTTGTGACTTAATTGATATATATATATATATATATATATATATATATATATATATATATATATAGAAGAGAGAGAGAGAGAGAGAGAGAGAGTGTTTCCAAATCCTGAGTAGCTAACTGAACACACTGTTCCTTTTTTTTTTAAGATTTATTTATTATTTATTTATTTATTTATTTATTTATTTATTTATTATTTATTCATGAGAAACAGAGAGAGAGAAAGGCACAGACACAGGCAGAGGGAGAAGCAGGCTCCACGCAAGGAGCCCGATGTGGGACTTGATCCCAGGTCTCCAGGATCACACGCTGGGCTGCAGGCGGCGCTAAACCGCTGCGCCCCCGGGGCTACCCTGAACACATTGTTCCAACATGAAATGACTCGTCAGTTGGAAGATGTCCTTAGGATTAACACTTAGGTACAGGCTGTATTTTCACAATTTAAAAAAGTGAAAAATACATAATGACACAATGTACATCAAATAGGCTTAAGGTTTTGTTTTTTAACTATATGTGCTTCATCTTCCTCCCTTCAGGCAGCTCCCTTGCCCCTAGTCATTGTGCAGCATGCATGCAGTAGCTCAGGTCCCTCTCCTATGCCAGAACATCAATCGGAGGAGGACAATCATCCTCTGGTTTCACTCATATGGGTAATATAAGAAATAATGAAAGGGATTATAAGGGAAAGGAGAGAAAATGAGTGGGAAAAATCAGAGAGGGTGACAAAACATGAGAGACTCCTAACTCTGGGAAACGAACAAGGGGTAGTGGAAGGGGAGGCGGGTGGGAGGATGGGGTGACTGACTGGGTGATGGGCACTGAGGAGGACACTTGATGGGATGAGGACTGGGTGTTATACTATATGTTGGCAAATCGAACTTCAATAAAAAATAAATAAATAAACCCACAAACAATAAGTCTCACCAACTAGCAGAAGTAGCTGGAAAAAAAGAAAAAAGAAAAAAAGAAAAACAACAAAAACCAGAAAAGAAAAAAGAAAAGTGATAGCAGAGGGAAAAGAGCAGTGGTACTTACGGAGATGAAGAAAAAGAGATCATTAAAAGCCAGAACAGTTTTCAGAGAAGACAATGATATTGCAATGAGTCAGGAAAGTGGCATATATAGCAAGAGAGAAGGTGGCATTTAGGGTAGAAAAAGAAAAATCCCTGAGCCACAAGAGGGAGGTAGAATTTAGTATTTGGAAAAAGTAAATAGTGAATATAAGAGTTTGGTGGGGGGAGGGGGAGTTCATTGCTCTCCTGGGCAGTAATGAATGAGCTTATGAATGAGGTAGAGAAACACATTAGGGAAAACAGATGAGTAGCTCACTGAGGAATTCTGAAGTGTCCATCTCAAGAATCTGACCTGTTGGTAAAGGCAAGTAAGTGCCACAGAAAATAACTGTCTGGGGGCCCTGTTCACAGCCTTGCCTTAGATAAACTAAGTAAGAGAATAGAACATCTCATGCTCAGTGCTACTTTCTGATGTCAAAAAATTATGGTGAGAAAGTAGCTCCGTGGTTTTTATATAATGACTAGCATATTTTTGTTAAATACTTGCTCAGTAAGCAGTGTGGTTGATAAGTAAAATTTGCTTAAAAAACAGGATAGGTTTTATACTAGTTCATCATTAAATTTTGACTAATAAAACCTAGGTTGTATTTCTGTCATTTATGTAAGTTCATTTCAAAGATCTGCTTACAATTGTTCATTTCATATATTTTTGAATACCTGCCCAAAAAAAGCTACTTAATATCTCTGTGGATAAATGTTTTGATCAGGAAGTATGAATGAGTCACATAAAAGTATTAAAAATAGTTTTTAATTTTTCCACTGCTACTACCTGACTAGTTGAATTTCCAAACTTTTAGAATAAAGTTTTTAACAAATTAACAAGACATTTTTGAAGGTAAAATAACAAGGGGACAATAGCTGAGCAAGTTCCTCTAGTGGCAAACCCTAAATTAAAAAAAGACAAATTAGGGATCCCTGGGTGGCGCAGCGGTTTGGCGCCTGCCTTTGGCCCAGGGCGCAATCCTGGAGACCCGGGATCGAATCCCACGTCAGGCTCCCGGTGCATAGAGCCTGCTTCTCCCTCCGCCTGTGTCTCTGCCTCTCTCTCTCTCTGTATGACTATCGTAAATAAGTAAAAAAATAAAATAAAATAAAATAAACAAATTGGAAGTGGAATTCTAGTCTGCAATATCAATGATCGCTTACTATGTGCAAATCACTGTGCTGGGTAATGAGGTCTCAGGGGGAGTAAGACAGAGCCCTTTATCTTAAGAACTTATCTCAGAGAAATACAAACTCATTGACCACTCTCATTCCAAGAAAAACTAACAAAATCGCCACCTACACTAGATTATGTAGTTTGCTTTTTCTACGGTTTTCATTTTAAATACATATACACATCACACACAAACACATATATATTTAAATCTATACACAATCTAGAAGGAAAAAAGGCATACAGTACCTTTAACTCCTGACAAACTCTAACACATATTATTTAACTTGTAATTTATAATGAATCATAGAATAAAAAAGTGCCAGAACATTTTGGAGTAGCTGGAGGAAGACTGGGCGCTCTTACCTTCTTCAAAATTTCAGTTTGGGAGTATGTGCAATACAACAGGGGGAGCACACAATTTGTTCTGGGATCCTTTGGTAGACATATAGTAGATGACCTTTTTCCTATCAGCCAATTATGGGGAAACATTTGGTGATTTTTTCACAGTAGGACCTCAGATAACAAGTTTCCTTACTTGTAAACATTCTTGAAACTGCCCCTCTCTGTAGCTATAACAATGAGCCTTAGAGAAACAGAAAAGTGACTTAGCTTTACCATAGCTTCATTTTAACTTTTCTGTCCCACAATTTTTTTCTTTATAAAATTAACCCAAGAAATAGAACCAAAATTTTCAAATTGTTCCCTGGTGTTTCCTGGGGTTCTTTAGGGAAAAAAAAAAAAAAAAAAAGAATGAAAAGCAGAGGGTAGTCAAAATAATTAGCCTATTTCATGGGTTTCAAGAAGACAGAGTTCTTTGGTTTAAAATAGTACTTTGAAAGATTCCACAAATTCGTTATTTAAAATCATTTTATTAAAAATAAATAAATAAATAAAAATAAAATCATTTTATTAAATCTTCAGGTTAAGGAAACTTTAAAATAAACTTAAGAGTGCTGATCTAGGGACGCCTGGGTGGCTCAGCAGTTGAGGGTCTGCCTTTGGCTCAAGGCATGATCCTGGGGTCCTGGGATGGAGTCCCATATCGGACTTCCTGTGGGGAGCCTGCTTCTCCCTCTGCCTGTGTCTCTGCCTCTTCTCTGTGTGTCTCTCATGAATAAATAAAATCTTAAAAAAAAAAAAAGACTGCTGATCTAAAATTTTCCTACAAACAGGTAATAACATTACCTAATTCTAGAAGTGGATGCTTAATTACAACCCAGGGGAAAAAGAAAGAATTCAACTGAAACCAGTAAGACTGTGCGTGTCTTGCCTGGATCTCCCCCAGTGCAGTCTCTGTTTAGTTCAGCCTGGGGTAGTCCAAGTCTCATCAAAATATCACCTCAATGTCACCATCATCTCTATTAAATAAAAAAGTTAGAGGATAACTACAAAGTCTAATATTCAGCCTCAAAAGATCAAGACATGGAAATTCTTGATAGTGGTTCATGTAATAAAGAGTTTGGGGTATCAAGCTTAAAGCTTAACAAAAGCTTACTGTAACGGAAGCAGGCTTCCATTAAACGCAATCTTATTTTGAAATTATTTTCCTCCAATTAGAAATGGAAGGATTTTATGTTTATTATAGGATAAAAGACCATTTCTAATTGTGTCATTTTTTTAATAACACTGCAAACAAACATCCCTTTTGTGGTATGCTACTTGGATCTCCCTTCTAGCAAGAACTTGCCCTTTGGTTACAAATTACAAAGAATGCAGT